ATACATTCATATATATGTATATATGGCGCTATAGTATGAAATTGAACTTGGTGTTGGCAAGAATGAACAGAAGTGTGACTATATATATATATATATATATATATATGCACATATACACACTGCTAGTTTTTAATAATGTTTTCGTAAGTTAAATATTATTATCTACTTTAAATAAAAAAAAAAATAAAAAAGTTTTCGATATTGCGTCAATTGATTTTAATATAATAGACACATATCACCTTGAATAAAATTATTCTAAATAATTTTAGTGTTTATTTTCCTTTGTTAAATTTATTAAATGTAATTGAGATTATTTTGATAGTGCAACATTTAATTTTTCATTAGATGAGACACTGATATCATCACATTGAATAAATTGTTTTTAATAATTTTATAAATGTTTATTTTTCTTAACTTTCGTGTTTAGCTTACGTAAAACTTGATCAATATATTGAAATATATTGAAATATATTGAAATTTGAATTTTTATATTCACTCAAATGTATAAAGCACTATTCGTTGTTTTTAACTTGAATAAAAAAAATTTTCTTTTAAATTATGCAGAACTTTAAAAGTTATCAACAATTCTGAGTTTGTAATAAAATTTTTAATACCCAGAGATAAAAGAAAACAGTAAAATTATATAATTTTTTTAAACAAATTTTTAAATTGTAGAAAAAAATATATATCAATAATGTAAATTTTGAATATATTTTTTTTTTTTGATGATAATAAACCAGGAATTATTAATTATAATTTAGTTTTAGAACAATAATGAGAATTTTTGGTCTAAGGAAATTTATTTCATGCAAAATTTATATCATAATAGAATTATATGACCTTATAAAAATTTATAATTAAGGTATAATGGTGAATTTAAGGAATGTTTTATGTAAATTAAGAAAACAAGAAAAATACTTGTTTATACTTGTGACGCAAAATACGTTATCGATCTCACACAATAAACGCAACTGTTTTATTTTAATTTTTATGTTTATTGTAGTGTCGTAAGATAAATTTTTCTATTATGATAAAATGGAAATTTATATATTCAGTTCCAAATATTATTTTTAGGGTTCCGTACCCGAAGGGGGAACCCTATTAATGAGACTAGTGAAGCAAGGCATGTACCCTCCCCCCCCTAACGGCCACACGAATTTATCTAGAGGGCTGAAATTTGGTACACATATGTATTTTGACGTGCAGATTACAGGAAAAATATAACAAATCTCATAGGAATTGATTATCATAGCGTTGTCAAGGAAAAACCATGAATTTTTACGAAAAATCCCTAAAAATGACTATGTACCCCCCCCCCCCCTCTGGTGGCCACATTTTTTCACATAGAGATCTCAAATTTGGTACACTTATGTATTTTTACACGGAAAGACTTTGTGCATCACTTTGTGTTAAACTCGCCACGAGATTTTAGTAAACTTTTTACCAAACTCGAAAGAAAAGGAAAGATATTAATAATTCGTAGTCTGACTATTAAAATCAGAAAAAAGTTACTGATGTACAATAATTGATTGTTGAGAATTTTAAAATTTAATAGTCGGTCGATCAAAAAATAAAATCTGAAGTTTCACTAAAAAAACATATACATAGCTTTTAATAGCGTGACTACTAAAGTTGCCATCTGAAACTCCATATATACGTATATATATATATATCGACAATTGATAAATAATGTAGAAATCCAATTTACCTATGAACGAGAGATCACATCTTAACCTAAAATCGTCTAAAATACAGATAGGGTAAACGCTCGCTTTAACCGACGCAACGCAAATACAATTCATATCAACGATATTAAGAGGGCAGTTTATTTTTCTTATATACTAATCTCACCATTTCATTTCCACTTACGAGAAAATTTTATTATGTTTAAACTTATTTCAAGTGCAATAAAAAAATTTCAAAAAAATAAATTATTTAATATTATTAATAAGGTCAATTTTAGGAAATGTCAGAATTAATTTTTTATGCAAACAGGATTATTAAAAGTGTTCGTTGTGTAGACATTTTTCTATCTATGCCGGAACTATTCAACTGCTGACGCTACACGGACAAGCTTCGCTTGTTTGTATGCGTGCTGTTTTCATCGTGAGACTACTAAATTGTAAACACGACGCAATGAAAATGTCGTTCTTACAAATATAAAGAATATACTTTTGACATTCATTTTTTCTTAATCTTAATTTTTCTTACAGCGTTAACGAATATTTCTTAGCGTGACTACTAAATTTTAATAAAAAAGAAAACATTTTTTGTTGAAAACATTTATATAAAATGATAGTTTTCCATTTTTTCCGAGTTTGGTCGCGAGTTTACTAAAATCTCTTGGCAAGTTTGACAGAAAGTGATGCACAAAGTCTTTCCGTGTACGTGAAAATTACAGGAAAAATATAGCGAACATGATTCGGATCGATTTACATAGCGTTGTCAAAGAAAAATCAAAAATTTTGAAAAAAAGCGTTTAATCCTCCTAGCGCACACACTATTTGACCAAGACAGTTAATATTTGGTATACATACGTTTTTTGCGTATAGATTACAGAAAAAATATAGCGAGCACGAATGGAGTTGATGATCATATTGTTTTTAAGGAAAACACATATTTTTAGAAAAAATCATGGATTTTTCGAATAAAAAAAGAAGAAAATTTTATCTTAAGGGATTCAAATTTATACATTTTTACGTATTTCTACGTGTAGATTACAAAAAATATATAGCGAGAACGATTGGAGTTGATTATCATAGCGTTTTCAAGGAAAAACTGATAATATTTCGTTATATGTGACACTTTAACCCCCTTAAATTTTAGGTTTAAGGGTACGGAACCCTCGGTTTTAATGCGAGTGTAACTCGCACTTGTCCGATTTTTTAATATTAGGGTCATTCCATTTTATTTCACCTATAGTCGCTGCGGCCTATTTTTTGAAAAATCTGATATTTAATAATAATGACTTTTAATATATGTACAGTTCATTTTTGACAATTATTTTATGAAATTTTTTTTTATTTACGAAGGAATTTAGTATTCAAGTTGAGTTGCACGGAAAATAGGTTAGTTTGACAGCTTTGAAAATTTAATAAAAGAGAACAGAAATAGTTTAGTTAGTAAATTTTTTTTTATTGATATTTGTTTATAATCTTACCAAAATGTAGAAAGAGATTTTCTTAATAGAAAAACTTAGGTTTAAGTACTGATATACTTAAAATTTTTGAATTTATATCATTTATGTCTACAATAATTTTTTGTAATCCCCTGTGGAAAAAGCCACGATCTTGCCCTCAAGGGTTCGGGGCCCCCGGCGGGGGCCCATGAGGGCTGATCCATATGGCGAATCCATGAGGGGCAACGTAGGGGCCCCGCATGGATCGCCCTCATGATCGATTAGCAAAATTTTCTAAGTCCAAAATTCAAATATTTTTTCGTCAACAAAAAATGAATGTTTCCAATGATTCAGAACAACGAAAAACGCGTTTTTAATAAAAATATATTTACACTTTTTTTGAAAATTCACCTGAGATGATTCATGATAATAATCATAAATCATATAATTAATTATATTTTATAAATTGCATTTAATTGGAAAATATAATAATATCTTAACTTTAACTAAATGATGTTAAGCACTTTTCTTTGTTAGGTATTTTTGAAGTTTAAATAGCATCAAGAAGTTAGCATTCGTTTTGAAGTAGCGTGCGTATCGTAGTTGGTAAAGCGTTAGACTCATAGTCCGTAGGTCGTAAGTTCGATTCCCCCCATGCGTTAGATTTATTTATTTCTTAGGTTTGCGTTTAATCATTAATTCTATGTATGAATTAATTGAAAAATGAAAACATCCGTTAATAGTATGCATAAATTACATATTTTTTAATTTTTTAATTAATTAATTTATTATTACTTTTAATTATATCCGACAGTTAATTAATTAGAACGTTAATTAATAAATTCAATTTGAGTAAGAATTTAATTTAAAATTGAATAATTATTAAATAAATATGGTATTTATTCATAACTTAAGCTTATTTATTATTAATTAACTTTTATTATTAATATTATTGATTAAAAAACATTATGGCAAACTTGAGGGCAAGATGAGGGCAAACGTGAGGGCCAATAAGGGCGCCCTCATCGATGAGCATGTCGTTTCCATGAGGGGCCCCTATGGATCATCCATATGCGCCCCTCATGGCATGAGGGCGATCCATAAGGGCCCCCACTGGGGGCCCACATCACTTTTCCACACGGGATGTTAATTTTTTATTATTTATTTTAAATGAAAAATTAGCTTTTGCGTCATATTAGATAAATAATTTCCAATAAATTCCATAGGTGTTTACTTTTCCTTGTTTATCTTATTTAGATAAGATCCATCATACGATGGACTTTCATCACAATCATATATAGGTGGACCAGGTGGAAAAGTCTGTTTATCCAACTTTTTAATTAATTATTTTCATTTTTAGTCTTTTTTTGAATCCTATGAGGACCAGTGTTGATTTCAGAGAACATGAACATTTTATTATTTTATCTCATGCATAAGTTCTTTGATTTTTAAAACTTAATTTTGAACCAATATTTTTCATTTAATCTAGTAAATTTTCTATTCCAAACTATCGGATAAACTATAAATAGGCATCGTGCACTTCAAAATACAATCATGAGCAGAGACCTAATAAAGAACATACATAAATTACATAATCCTGTCAATAAATGCATTCAAATAAATATATTATTTAAATTCATACTTTTAAAGCACCTAAAAATCCACTGATTTTACAAAGTTGCTCAGCCCATTCAAATTGTTGATTCAAAAGCGAAGTTGTGTTTTGATTTGATACACATTGACCATTTTCACAATGCTAAAAATGTTGATTAATCAGTATTTTATAACTACAAAATAGTGTCTGATTTGGCATGGAATACCTTATAAATGATAAAGGATCTAGGAAAGACAATTTATAAATTCGATTATAAATTAAAAACAATTTTTAATATTAACAACTTTATTTATTAACTAAAAATAAAGAATCCTAATTTATTATCAATATAATTATTAAATATTTTTATAAATAATTGTAATATTTTTCTTTAAAATGCAAATGGTAACAATGGTTACCATTGCAGTGCTAACCATGTCAGTACATTCGTTGTAACATATTTATAGGTAAAATAAATAAAAGTAGTTAACAATATATTTTGAAACTAGTAAAGATCCTATATTGATTTAGTATAGTAAACACAAATGTTTTAATAAATTAACCTTCTTCGTAGTTAAAAAAAAATCTTGACTATTTAATTATATTGAAATATATTATTAATTAAAAATTAGTTTAATTTTACAAATTTTTTTTAATAAATTAAATAGTACATATTCGCATATAAGTATAATAATATTACAATGAGAAATTACGCAAAGATAAATTTCTAAATATAATTTTTAAAATATTTTTTTTTCTTAAATTTCTATATATTAATTTTTTCCCTTAGATTGATTTTGATGGATACAAGTATTATTATAACAAATCTGAAAAAAATGTTATATTTCAATATAATAATTATAATTTAAAACGAGAAGAAAATTAAAAGGAAAACTTGCTCCATTATTACTGCATGGAAAACCATTTGGAGCATTCATTGTAAGATTTGTTGTCAAATTATTTGGTAACTTATAGCAACTCATAGCACATAAGGTTGGATAATTCTAAAGACGTTAATAAGTTAACATCAATAAAAAATATCAGAATAATCATAATAATCATAATAATAGTCGGTTGTATTTTGAACTGGCACTTCAACAACAGCTGTAGTAACTTCAACAACCGGGGTTGTTACTTCATCAACAGGAGTAGTTACTTTAACCATAGGAGTCGTAACTTCAACAACAGGAGTATTAATGTTTTCAGCAGATTCAACATTATTGATAATTGTAATGCTATCGGGAGTTGTTTTACCATCTAATGGAGCAACTAAAACATCCGAGGAGGAAGTAGAATTACTATGCAGTTTAAAAAAAAGGCCTAAAACAATAATTAAAATAGAAATAAATATTTAAATTTGTATCATTACTATAATTTTCATAAGTAATTATTTAAACTAACAAAGGTAACTTTTTTTATTCCCACTTCTATGCACTGCTCTGTTGCAGATTTACTAAATGTAGGATGTTGAGAAAGTGATGGAAATAATTCTTTTAAATAATTATTATTTTCAGTTGTGTTGAAATTTACTTCAACACACTCTCCTCTCAAACAATACTGAAATTTATATATTTTTCATTAAAGAACATGAAATATTTTAATAACTTGAAATATTAATAGATATTCATAAATTTTTTACTTTTCCTATGTAACAAGGCGTTCCATCAAGTGCTGCAAAAGAAAATTCTGTAGCCCACGGCTCAAACCCCTTACATTGTATGGTTTTGCAAGAGTCTGGATTCACCTTAAATAAAATAAAATTATTTAAATCATATAGATTTTTATTAATTTATAAATCATTCAGTTTCGTATTGATATCAAGATAATTAGATTTTTATTTATATTCTTAAAGATATTGTGGTATCTGCGCATTTTTTTAAAACTTACATCATATGCTCGGAGATATCCTCGGCTTTGACATTGTTCGTCTATTGTTATAAATTTACCAGGCAAAATTCTTAACATTTGTTCATTAGTTTCATTAACCAATGGATTATTACGAATGCATTTAGGACCCTCGCTTCTAAAATTAAAAATATTTTCATTTTTATTAATTAATAAAATTATTCATACATTTTTTTTTGCATTAAAATAAACGAATTGAAAAGTTTATCAAATTTTAAATAGTGTCATAAAAACGTTTTTTTTATTTTTTAAAATAAATAAATAAAAACTAACCTGAGATAGTTAGACATAATTTTTTTAGAACACGTGGAAAAGTAATATTGTTTTTCGTCAATATGGACATAGGTCATAATGTAGCCATCATAAAAAGAACAGTGCTTCGCTGTTGAATCATTTTTCACACCGTCATGAGGAGCTCCGAATCTTATAAAATAAAACATTAATATATAAAATATATCATAATTTTTGAATATTTAATCTAAAACAATTCATACTTACAAATGACCTAATTCATGTGAAGCTATATTTATTCCAGAAAAGGCAGTATTATCCAAAATAATCGCTGTAGAAGCTATTTTTTGTTCATTAGTGTTATTAACACAAGCAGTTCCCACAAATGCCATACCTTGAAAATTTGTCACCTCGTCAGTAAATTTAATATGTAAAAAAGCATATATTATATCAATTTAAAGAAGATATAATACCGTTAAGGCCCTTTTCGAATAATGGATCTGCACCTAATAATACAGCAATATCGTAATCCTTTCCCAATTTGAATTGATCTTGATTGTACATAAATTTACCAAATTCGTCCAGTTTTTTTTGATTTACTCTAAATGGATCATTTCCTAAAGGTTGATCCTTAAAATTTAAAAGAAATACATTAGAATTTGTTGAAAAAATAATGATCTTATAAGATCACATAAAAAACCTATGCACTTTTTTTTGAATCATCATCAAATCTAATTAATTTAATTGGATTTTTGAGTTAAATAACTTTTAATCTAATTTTAGATGATTTTCATGAGTTCCATTAATTATAAATTCGTATAAGAAAAATACCTGACACAATACAATTCCTGCAATGTTAAGACGAACTGACGGATTTTGTAATTCTCTATAATCGAGATCCACTCCATTCCAAAGAGTTAGTGTATAAATTACAGTTTTTTCAATATCATAATCAAAGTGTCTAAAAAAAATTTGTTTTAATATAAATGACTATTTCTATATCATAATTAAAAATAATGTCAAAAACTTACCGAAAAAGTGTTTTATCAACATAGACTAAAATTTCTGGATACACCGTTGTTAAATTTGATACATTGATTGGTTCATTATCAACTTGATCATAATTAACAACGCTATTCTAAAAGAAAAATTTATTTTTAAAATATAAATTTTATATTTTTTAATATAAAAACAATGTGCTTAACGAATTTTGTTTGATATTAAAGAAATAGTTATAGTACTTACAAATTGTGTTTCTCCGTTTTCACTTACTGTCTGAAATACTTCAGATTCGGTTTGATTATTGTAAAAGAAGGTAATATTTGATTTTCTCATAAACTGTAAAAAATATTCAATTATAAATATAAGATTTAGAAAATATATAAAAACTTTATTATTTATCAAAATTTATACATTATTTATTAAATTATAGAAGTTACATAAATAAATTTAATAAATATATTTAAATAATATATATTTAAACAAGTTGTAAATTCAGATGTTCATTATAATAAAATTTTGCTTCCTCTATACGATCAGCAAAAAAATTTGCTTCCTCGTGGAGAAAGCAAAATTATATTGCCAAAATGTGAATTTTTTAACTTTCATTAATTCTTTAAATTTACCTCAAATGTATACTTTATATATATCGATCGATTCGTCTGGACGTAAGGAATACGATTTTATTATATATAACCTTAAATTTTTCTATTTAAAAATTTTTTCGATTAAAAAAAAATTTTTGGAAAAAAGTCGATAAAATATTTTTTTTGGGGTATTTTTCAAAATCCTGTGGTCAGATTTAAGATATTAATATGATAAATGAGCCTACCAAATTTTATCTAAATCCATTAAAACCTGTTAAAGTTATCTTCTAAACAAAAAAGGGATCTACACACACACATATACACACACATACATACATACATCCGGACAATTGATCAGGATCTCATATAACATGTTTCTATAAAGAAAAAAATTTGTTTCCTCCACTTTGAAAAGTTTTATAAACGAAAGGACTACAAAGCTTCCTCCACGAGGAAGCAAAATGAGGCAAAATTCCTGAAATGTCCGAACAAAAAATTAAAAGTTATTGAATTTCGTCTATACTTTCCTAAAGTGTTATCATTGTTGGTGAAAGTCTAAAAATAAAAAATTATTGAATTTTATAAAATATTTTTTAAATTACAATGTTTTTAATTTTTGACTTTTTGAAAAAAAAATTTTTTTCAATGTACAATATTTATAAGTATAATACATAAAAGTTAAAAGTTAAAATTGATATCATTGTATACCCCTCAGGGGTCTTTACAATTTGCTCACAACTTTTATTTAACTTTTTGAACTCAACAAACTCTTAAAATTGCGGCTGTAGACTGACTTTTATTAGAAGCACTCGCATTTGCCTGGACTTTTGGCCAGGGGAGAGGAAAACTACAGAAAACTTCTCCCGAGCACAGCCGGTTTATTGACATTCGAGTTGTCAATGTATATTTGGATAATAATTATGACAAATGTACAAACACATCCTCGGCGTCAAACCTTCCGCTTCATATATATTTCGATCACAGTGAAAACACCAGGGCTATAGCCAGCACCGAGGCGGTCACCCATCCAAGTACTAACCGTACTCAGCTGTGCTTAACCTCAGTGATCGCAAGTCAAGGCGCTTCACCTTCCGATCTATATCATCGGTAATACATAAAAGTTAACATATGTATAATGATTTTTAAAGCTTTTTTGACGGGCTACACGTTGGTGACAAAATTTTTTTTATTAAATTAAAATTTGACCTTGAAATTCAAGGTCAAAGTGTTAATTTCCGTATATCTCAAAATCGGATTTTTAAAAAAATTTTTAACTGTCTCAATGGAAAGCTTGACTAATTTTCTATAAAATATGTAATTTTCAGAGTGGGATCTTTTAAAGTTTTTGAGATATAAACAATTGATCACACGCGCGCACTCTAATCGCGCGCCGTCACGCCGCGCGTGTGATCAATTGTTTATATCTCAAAAACTATGAAAGATCCCACTCTGAAAGTTACATATTTTATAGAAAATTAGTCAAGCTTTCCATTCAGATAGTTAAAAAAAAATATAAAAAAAACGGATTTTGAGATATACGGAAATTAACAATTTGACCTTGAATTTCAAGGTCAAATTTTAATTTAATAAAAAAATTTTGTCACTAACGTGTAGCCCGTCAAAAAAGCTTTAAAAATCATTATACATCTATTAACTTTTATGTATTATACTTATAAATATTGTACATTGAAAAAATATTTTTTTTTCAAAAAGTCAAAAATTAAAAACATTGTAATTTAAAAAATATTTTATAAAATTCAATAATTTTTTAATTTTAGACTTTCACCAACAATGACAACATTTTAGGAAAGTATGGACAAAATTTAGTAACTTTTAATTTTTTGTTCGGACATTTCAGGAATTTTGCCTCAAATATATTTTTCTTACATCTTCTTGTAGAGTGTATACAAATTTATCGTTCACTTTTTTAGCTATCCAAACTTTTGTATTTTTACCAGCAAAATTATCGACAGTTTGTAAAATGAATTCTCTTTCAGTGTTATTAAGAGTAACATGAATTGATATTTCATTAGATCCTTTTTTACGAATGGAATCTTCAATAGATACTAAAAAATTTTTTAAAAAAAATATTTCTTTAATTGTTATATATATGAAAACAAATAAGAAATTTAATAATTCTGAAGAAAATCGTATTTACCTTCTACTGGAGGTGGTTCAGTTATTTCTGATGATATTTCATTACCAAAAGTGTATGAGAATGGAGCAATAAATGCACAAAGTAAAATACAGATATAAATCATTTTTTAATACTAAATGATTATTTCTATATAGATGCCGAAATTATTTCATATAAATAGTAATTTTAATAATTTTAAATAATTTTCGTCCTGTAAAATAATTTTTTTAATAATAATTTAATATAAACAGAAGTTGATTATTCTAAATAATTTTAGTGTTTATTTTCCTTTGTTAAATTTATTAAATGTAATTGAGATTATTTTGATAGTGCAACATTTAATTTTTCATTAGATGAGACACTGATAACATCACATTGAATAAATTGTTTTTAATAATTTTATAAATGTTTATTTTTCTTAACTTTCGTGTTTAGCTTACGTAAAACTTGCTCGATATATTGAAATTTGAATTTGAAATATTATAATTTTTCGATTAATGTGATGTAAATAATATATTAAATGAGATTTGGAAATAATTTTTATATTTACTCAAATATATAAAGCACTATTCGTTGTTTTTAACTTGAATAAAAAAAATTTTTCTTTAAATTATGCAGAACTTTAAAAGTTATCAACAATTCTGAGTTTGTAATAAAATTTTTAATACCCAGAGATAAAAGAAAACAGTAAAATTATATAATTTTTTTAAACAAATTTGTAAATTGTAGAAAAAAATATATATCAATAATGTAAATTTTGAATATATTTATCTAGACGAATTATCTAGAGGGCTGAAATTTGGTATACATATGTATTTTGGCGTGTAGATTAGAGGAAAAATATAGCGAATCTCATAGGAATTTATTATCATAGCGTTGTCAAGGAAAAACCATGAATTTTTACGAAAAATCCCTAAAAATGACTATGTACCCCCCCCCCCCTCTGGTGGCCACATTTTTTCACATAGAGATCTCAAATTTGGTACACTTATGTATTTTTACGTAAAAATTACAGGAAATATATAGCGAACATGATTCGGATCGATTTACATAGCGTTGTCAAAGAAAAATCAAAAATTTTGAAAAAAAGCGTTTAATCCTCCTAGCGCACACACTATTTGACCAAGACAGTTAATATTTGGTATACATACGTTTTTTGCGTATAGATTACAGAAAAAATATAGCGAGCACGAATGGAGTTGATGATCATATTGTTTTTAAGGAAAACACATATTTTTAGAAAAAATCATGGATTTTTCGAATAAAAAAAGAAGAAAATTTTATCTTAAGGGATTCAAATTTATACATTTTTACGTATTTCTACGTGTAGATTACAAAAAATATATAGCGAGAACGATTGGAGTTGATTATCATAGCGTTTTCAAGGAAAAACTGATAATATTTCGTTATATGTGACACTTTAACCCCCTTAAATTTTAGGTTTAAGGGTACGGAACCCTCGGTTTTAATGCGAGTGTAACTCGCACTTGTCCGATTTTTTAATATTAGGGTCATTCCATTTTATTTCACCTATAGTCGCTGCGGCCTATTTTTTGAAAAATCTGATATTTAATAATAATGACTTTTAATATATGTACAGTTCATTTTTGACAATTATTTTATGAAATTTTTTTTTATTTACGAAGGAATTTAGTATTCAAGTTGAGTTGCACGGAAAATAGGTTAGTTTGACAGCTTTGAAAATTTAATAAAAGAGAACAGAAATAGTTTAGTTAGTAAATTTTTTTTTATTGATATTTGTTTATAATCTTACCAAAATGTAGAAAGAGATTTTCTTAATAGAAAAACTTAGGTTTAAGTACTGATATACTTAAAATTTTTGAATTTATATCATTTATGTCTACAATAATTTTTTGTAATCCCCTGTGGAAAAAGCCACGATCTTGCCCTCAAGGGTTCGGGGCCCCCGGCGGGGGCTCATGAGGGCTGATCCATATGGCGAATCCATGAGGGGCAACGTAGGGGCCCCGCATGGATCGCCCTCATGATCGATTAGCAAAATTTTCTAAGTCCAAAATTCAAATATTTTTTCGTAAAAAAAAATGAATGTTTCCAATGATTCAGAACAACGAAAAACGCGTTTTTAATAAAAATATATTTATACTTTTTTTGAAAATTCACCTGAGATGATTCATGATAATAATCATAAATCATATAATTAATTATATTTTATAAATTGCATTTGATAGGAAAATATAATAATATCTTAACTTTAACTAAATGATGTTAAGCACTTTTCTTTGTTAGGTATTTTTGAAGTTTAAATAGCATCAAGAAGTTAGCATTCGTTTTGAAGTAGCGTGCGTATCGTAGTTGGTAAAGCGTTAGACTCATAGTCCGTAGGTCGTAGGTTCGATTCCCCCCATGCGTTAGATTTATTTATTTCTCAGGTTTGCGTTTAATCATTAATTCTATGTATGAATTAATTGAAAAATGAAAACATCCGTTAATAGTATGCATAAATTACATATTTTTTAATTTTTTAATTAATTAATTTATTATTACTTTTAATTATATCCGACAGTTAATTAATTAGAACGTTAATTAATAAATTCAATTTGAGTAAGAATTTAATTTAAAATTGAATAATTATTAAATAAATATGGTATTTATTCATAACTTAAGCTTATTTATTATTAATTAACTTTTATTATTAATATTATTGATTAAAAAACATTATGGCAAACTTGAGGGCAAGATGAGAGCAAACGTGAGGGCCAATAAGGGCGCCCTCATCGATGAGCATGTCGTTTCCATGAGGGGCCCCTATGGATCATCCATATGCGCCCCTCATGGCATGAGGGCGATCCATAAGGGCCCCCACTGGGGGCCCACATCACTTTTCCACACGGGATGTTAATTTTTTATTATTTATTTTAAATGAAAAATTAGCTTTTGCGTCATATTAGATAAATAATTTCCAATAAATTCCATAGGTGTTTACTTTTCCTTGTTTATCTTATTTAGATAAGATCCATCATACGATGGACTTTCATCACAATCATATATAGGTGGACCAGGTGGAAAAGTCTGTTTATCCAACTTTTTAATTAATTATTTTCATTTTTAGTCTTTTTTTGAATCCTATGAGGACCAGTGTTGATTTCAGAGAACATGAACATTTTATTATTTTATCTCATGCATAAGTTCTTTGATTTTTAAAACTTAATTTTGAACCAATATTTTTCATTTAATCTAGTAAATTTTCTATTCCAAACTATCGGATAAACTATAAATAGGCATCGTGCACTTCAAAATACAATCATGAGCAGAGACCTAATAAAGAACATACATAAATTACATAATCCTGTCAATAAATGCATTCAAATAAATATATTATTTAAATTCATACTTTTAAAGCACCTAAAAATCCACTGATTTTACAAAGTTGCTCAGCCCATTCAAATTGTTGATTCAAAAGCGAAGTTGTGTTTTGATTTGATACACATTGACCATTTTCACAATGCTAAAAATGTTGATTAATCAGTATTTTATAACTACAAAATAGTGTCTGATTTGGCATGGAATACCTTATAAATGATAAAGGATCTAGGAAAGACAATTTATAAATTCGATTATAAATTAAAAACAATTTTTAATATTAACAACTTTATTTATTAACTAAAAATAAAGAATCCTAATTTATTATCAATATAATTATTAAATATTTTTATAAATAATTGTAATATTTTTCTTTAAAATGCAAATGGTAACAATGGTTACCATTGCAGTGCTAACCATGTCAGTACATTCGTTGTGACATATTTATAGGTAAAATAAATAAAAGTAGTTAACAATATATTTTGAAACTAGTAAAGATCCTATATTGATTTAGTATAGTAAACACAAGTGTTTTAATAAATTAACCTTCTTCGTAGCTAAAAAAAATAACCTTAACTATTTAATTATATTGAAATATATTATTAATTAAAAATTGGTTTAATTTTACAAACTTTTTTTTTAATAAATAAAATAGTACATATTCGCATATAAGTATAATAATATTACAATGAGAAATTACGCTTTAATTTGCTTAATTAAACCACTAGCATCAAAAATTGGACTGTCATTATTATTATTGTCATCATCAATCTGACTATCATCGTTAGCAATTGACTTTGGAGTTGTTACATCCACCTCAGGAGTAGTTATCTTATCATTTAAAGATTTAACATCAGTAAAATTTGTTAAACTGTGAGGAGTTGTTGTATCATTTGGAAGACCAACAGAATTTTCCTCGGGTAAAGGAAAATCAGTAGAGCTTGGTTTGGTATCAGTAATTGTCATATTCACACATTTTCCATCTTGACAGTACTGAAATACACAAAACTTTCTGTTAAATAGCGTATTTAGATAAATTATATAAATAAATTAATAAAATTTATTTATTATAAATAATTATAAATTGTGTGAATTGAAAAGTTAAAAGTTTTCTTACCCCATTCTCCTGGCATGGAAATCCATCTTGTGCTGTTACATTTCTGTAAATGTCACTTGTATCATTAATATTTTCCTTCATAGATGAAGAATCATATGGGTTGATATCAATTTTGATGTCCATTTTAGTTTTGCAACTTAAGACACATTCCTTAATAGTTTTCTAAAGTACAGACAAATAAAATAATTTTAAACATCATTTGAAATGCGAAAAAATTAAATATTTAATTTGCTAATTTGAATACTAACATTTGAAAATCCTATCGTTCCAGCTTCTTTACATTGTTCATCAGCAGATTTAAATTTATTAGGCATAATAGAAGAAGTATTATTCGAATCAGTAACAACATTATCAGTTATTTCACTGTTATTCATACCAATACACTTTCTGTTATGGCAATACTTGAAAATTGTTAATAACAAATTAAAATTAAGTATTAAATCATAATTCTCATTTAATAGTAATCATAATTATTTTTGAAATTTTTAATCAGAGACTTTGAAATCTATTAAATAAAAAATTTCTAAATTGTAAATTAAAATATTTCTTATTCCACCATTACTGCACAAAGTTCCATAATGAGCCTCTATAACCTTGTAGTTTGGGAGTCCTTTTTTCTGATACAGGCAATTTACTTTGCAGTTTTCAAAAGAGGCCTAAAACAATAATTAAAATAGAAATAAATATTCAAATTTGTATTGATATTAAATCTTCATAAGTAATTGTTTAAACTAACTTCGGTAACATTTTCTAATCCGTATTCTATGCACTGCTCTGTTGCAGATTTATTAAATGTAGGATGTTGAGAAAGTGATGGAAATAATTCTTTTAAATAATTATTATTTTCAGTTGTGTTGAAATTTACTTCAACACACTCTCCTCTCAAACAATACTGAAATTTATATATTTTTCATTAAAGAACATTTCATGAAATATTTTAATAACTTAAAATATTAATTGATAGTCATAAATTTTTTACTTTTCCTATGTAACAAGGCGTTCCTTCAAGTGCTGCAATAAAACTATATCTAAAACCCGTCTTTTCCCTCTTACATCGCATGTCATTGCAAAAGTCTGGATTCACCTTAAATAAATTAAAATTATTTAAATCATATAAATTTTTATTAATTTATAATTCATTCAGTTTTGTATTGATATCAAGCTAATTAGATTTTTCTTTATCTTCTTAAAGATATTGTGGTATTTGCGCATTTTTTTAAAACTTACATCATATGCTCGGAGAAATCCATATTTTCGACATTGTTCGTCTATTGTCATAAATTTACCAGGCAAAATTCTTAACATTTGTTCATTAGCTTCATTAACCAATGGATTATTACGAATGCATTTAGGACCCTCACTTCTAAAATTAAAAATATTTTCATTTTTATTAATTAATGAAATTATTCATACATTTTTTTATTGCATTAAAATATAAACGAATTGAAAAGTTTATCAAATTTTAAATAGTGTCATAAAAACGTTTTTTTTATTTTTTAAAATAAATAAATAAAAACTAACCTGAGATAGTTAGACATAATTTTTTTAGAACACGTGGAAAAGTAATATTGTTTTTCGTCCATATGCATATAGGTCATAATGTAGCCATCATAAACAGAACAGTGCTTCGCTGTTGAATCATTTTTCTCACCGTCATGAGGAGCTCCGAGTCTTATAAAATAAAACATTAATATATAAAATATATCATAATTTTTGAATATTTAATCTAAAACAATGCATACTTACAAATGACCTAATTCATGTGAAGCTACGCTTATTCCAGAAAAACCAGTATTATCCCAAATTATCGCTGTAGAATCTATTTTTTGTTCATTAGTGTTATTAACACAAGTAGTTCCCACAGATGCCAAACCTTGAAAATTTGTCACCTCGTCAGTAAATTTAATATGTAAAAAAAGCATATATTATATCAATTTAAAGAAGATATAATACCTGCAAGGCCCGCTATGAAGAATGGATTTGCACCTAATAATACAGCAATATCGTAATCCTTTCCCAATTTGAATTGATCTTGATTGTACATAAATTTACCAAATTCGTCCAGTTTTTCTGAATCTACTTTAAATGGATCATTTTCTGAATGTTGATCCTTTAAATTTAAAAGAAATACATTAGAATTTGTTGAAAAAATAATGATCTTAAAAAATCACATAAAAAACCTATGCACTTTTTTTGAATCATCATCAAATCTAATTAATTTAATTGGATTTTTGAGTTAAATAACTTTTAATCTAATTCTAGATGATTTTCATGAGTTCCATTAATTATAAATTCGTATAAGAAAAATACCTGACACAATACAATTCCTGCAATGTTAAGACGAACTGACGGATTTTGTAATTCTCTATAATTGAGATCCACTCCATTCCAAAGAGTTAGTGTATAAATTACAGTTTTTTCAATATCATAATCAAAGTGTCTAAAAAAAATTTGTTTTAATATAAATGACTATTTCTATATCATAATTAAAAATAATGTCAAAAACTTACCGAAAAAGTGTTTTATCAACATAGACTAAAATTTCTGGATACACCGTTGTTAAATTTGATACATCGATTGGTTCATTATCAACTTGATCATAATTAATAACGCTATTCTGAAAGAAAAATTTATTATTAAAATATAAATTTTATATTTTTAGGGTTCCGTACTCGGTTCGGAACCCTATTAATATCGGTTTTTTTGAAATCGTGTACCCCCCCCCTAGCGGCCACATAAATTTATCTGGAGGGCTGAAAATTAGTACACATATGTATTTTCGCGTGTAGATTACAGGAAAATTATAGCGAACTTGATTGGAATTGATTAACATAGCGTTGTCAAGGAAAAACCATGAATTTTTACGAAAAATGCCTAAAAATGACTATGTACCCCCCCCCCTAGCGGCCACATCTTTTGACATAAAGAGCTCAAATTTGACACACTTACGTATTTTTACGTGAAAATTACAGGAAAATTATAGCGAACTTGATTCGGATCAATTTAGATAGCGTTGTCAAGAAAAAATCAAAAATTTCGAAAAAAATAATTTATTCTCCCTAGCGCACACAATATTCAACCCAGACAGATCATATTTAGTATACAAATGTATTTTTACGGGAAAAATACAGGGGAAAAAAAGCGGTCACGATTAGAGTTGATGATTAACTTTTTATCAAGTTTTTCAAGAAAAAATGACAATTTTAGGAAAAAAATGTATTTTTCCACCAAAAACGAACAAAATTTTATTTAAAGGAAATTAAATTTATATATTTTAACGTATTTTTACGTGTAGATTACAAAAAAAATATAGCGAGCATGATTGGAGTTGATTATCATAGCGTTGTCAAGGAAAAACCATGAATTTTTACGAAAAATACCTAAAAATGAGTATGTACCCCCCCCCTAGCGGCCACATCTTTTGACATAAAGAGCTCAAATTTGACACACTTACGTATTTTTACGTGAAAATTACAGGAAAATTATAGCGAACTTGATTCGGATTAATTTACATAGCGTTGTCAAGGAAAAATCAAAAATTTCGAAAAAAATGATTTATTCTCCCTAGCGCACACAATATTCAATCCAGACTGTTCATACTTGCTGTAAAACTTAATTTTTGCGTGAAAAATACAGGGAAAAAATGTAAGCGCGATTGGAGTTGATGATCAATTTTTATCAAATTTTTGAAGAAAAATGATAAATTTCAGAAAAAAATGTATTTTTCTGCAAAAAACGAAAAAAGTTTTTCTACAGTGATTCAAATTTATATATTTTGACGTATTTTTACGTGTAGATTACAAAAAAAATATAGCGAGGATGATTGGAGTTGATTTTTCTGGAATTAATAAACAAATTTTATTTTTTAGATAACTTTCGATTTTTCCTTGACAAGCAGCTACTAGCCTTATATCAATATCTTAAGTTTTATCTCTTTTTGACTTAGAAAGATAAAATTTAATATTCAATATATTTTTAAAATGTAAATACAATAAAAATATTGCGAGTTGAAATAAAATTATGTTTCTTATATTTTTTTAGTAAAATATTTTTTAAAAAATAAAATCGGACAAGTGCGAGTTACACTCGCACTGAAATCGAGGGTTCCGTACTCGAAGCGAACTTATTTGGTATAAAAACAAATGTTTAAAAAATATGTGTTGTATGACAACTAATATAAGTGATACGAAGAGGAACAATTTTCTTGAATTTTACAAAATTGTTCCTTTTTGTATCACTTATAATAGTTGTCATACAACACATATTTTTTAAACATTTGTTTTTATACCAAATAAGTTCGCTTCGAGTACGGAACCCTCGATTTCAGTGCGAGTGTAACTCGCACTTGTCCGATTTTATTTAATATAAAAATAATGTGCTTAACGAATTTTGTTTGATATTAAAGAAATAGTTATAGTACTTACAAATTGTGATTCTCCATTTTCACTTACTGTCTGAAATACTTCAGATTCGGTTTGATTATTGTAAAAGAAGGAAATATTATTTGATTTTCTCATAAACTGTAAAAAATATTCAATTATAAATATAAGATTTAGAAAATATATAAAAACTTTATTATTTATCAAAATTTATACATTATTTACTAAATTATTTAAGTTACATAAATAAATTTAATAAATATATTTAAATAATATATATTTAAACAAGTTGTAAATTCAGATGTTCATTATATTAACATTTTGCTGCCTCTATACGATCAGCAAAAAAATTTGCTTTTTTGTGGAGAAAGCAAAATTTTATTGCCAAAATGTGAATTTTTGATTTTTTAACTTTCATTAATTCTTTAAATTTACCTCAAATGTATACTTTATATATATCGATCGATTCGTCTGGACGTAAGGAATACGATTTTATTATATATAACCTTAAATTTTTCTATTTAAAAATTTTTTCGATTAAAAAAAAATTTTTGGAAAAAAGTCGATAAAATTTTTTTTTGGGTATTTTTCAAAATCCTTTGGTCAGATTTAAGATATTAATATGATAAATGAGCCTACCAAATTTTATCTAAATCCATTAAAACCTGTTAAAGTTATCTTCTAAACAAAAAAGGGATCCACACACACACATACATACATCCGGACAATTGATCAGGATCTCATATAACATGTTTCTATAAAAAAAAAAATTTGTTTCCGACACTTTGAAAAGTTTTATAAACGAAAGGACTACAAAGCTTTCTCCACGAGAAAGCAAAATGAGGCAAAATTCCTGAAATGTCCGAAGAAAAAAATTAAAAGTTATTGAATTTCGTCTATACTTTCCTAAAATGTTGTCATTGTTGGTGAAAGTCTAAAAATAATAAATTATTGAATTTTATAAAATAATTTTTAAATTACAATGTTTTTAATTTTTGACTTTTTGAAAAAAAAAATTTTTTTCAATGGACAATATTTATAAGTATAACACATAAAAGTTAAAAGTTAAAATTGATTTCATTGTATACCCCTTAGGTGTCTTTACAATTTGCTCACAACTTTTATTTAACTCTTTGAACTCAACAAACTCTTAAAATTGCGGCTGTAGACCGACTTTTATTAGAAGCACTAGCATTTGCCTGGACTTTTGGCCAGGGGAGAGGAAAACTACAGAAAACCTCTCCCGAACACAGCCGGTTTATTGACAGTCGAGTTGTGAATGTATATTTGGATAATAATTATCACAAATGTTCAAACACATCCTCGGCGTCAAACCTCCCGCTTGATATATATTTCGATCACAGTGAAAACACCAGGGCTATAGCCAGCACCGAGGCTTTCACCAACAATGACAACATTTTAGGAAAGTATGGACAAAATTTAGTAACTTTTAATTTTTTGTTCGGACATTTCAGGAATTTTGCCTCAAATATATTTTTCTTACATCTTCTTGTAGAGTGTATACAAATTTATCGTTCACTTTTTTAGCTATCCAAACTTTTGTATTTTTACCAGCAAAATTATCGACAGTTTGTAAAATGAATTCTCTTTCAGTGTTATTAAGAGTAACATGAATTGATATTTCATTAGATCCTTTTTTACGAATGGAATCTTCAATAGATACTAAAAAATTTTTTTAAAAAAATATTTCTTTAATTGTTATATATATGAAAACAAATAAGAAATTTAATAATTCTGAAGAAAATCGTATTTACCTTCTACTGGAGGTGGTTCAGTTATTTTTGATGATATTTCATTACCAAAAGTGTATGAGAATGGAGCAATAAATGAACAAAGTAAAATACAGATATAAATCATTTTTTAATACTAAATGATTATTTCTATATAGATGCCGAAATTATTTCATATAAATAGTAATTTTAATAATTTTAAATAATTTTCGTCCTGTAAAATAATTTTCTTAATAATAATTTAATATATTCAGAAGTTGATTGTTTAAAAAAAATTAATTTGTTGGTTTTTAAAGGTATACAATTTTTTGAATTTTTAAACTCTTACCGGAAATGAAATTTTCTTTATGGAACAAATAGAATTCTGTAGATTAAATTTTGAATTTGAAATATTATAATTTTTCAATTAATGTGATGTAAATAATATATTAAATGAGATTTGGAAATAATTTTTATATTCACTCAAATGTATAAAGCACTATTCGTTGTTTTTAACTTAAATAAAAAAAATTTTCTTTTAAATTATGCAGAACTTTAAAAGTTATCAACAATTCTGAGTTTGTAATAAAATTTTTAATACCCAGAGATAAAAGAAAACAGTAAAATTATATAATTTTTTTAAACAAATTTTTAAATTGTAGAAAAAAATATATATCAATAATGTAAATTTTGAATATATTTTTTTTTGATGATAATAAACCAGGAATTATTAATTATAATTTAGTTTTAGGACAATAATGAGAATTTTAGGTCTAAGGAAATTATTTCATATAAATAGTAATTTTAATAATTTTAAATAATTTTCGTCCTGTAAAATAATTTTCTTAATAATAATTTAATATATTCAGAAGTTGATTGTTTAAAAAAAATTAATTTGTTGGTTTTTAAAGGTATACAATTTTTTGAATTTTTAAACTCTTACCGGAAATGAAATTTTCTTTATGGAACAAATAGAATTCTGTAGATTAAATTTTGAATTTGAAATATTATAATTTTTCAATTAATGTGATGTAAATAATATATTAAATGAGATTTGGAAATAATTTTTATATTCACTCAAATGTATAAAGCACTATTCGTTGTTTTTAACTTAAATAAAAAAAATTTTCTTTTAAATTATGCAGAACTTTAAAAGTTATCAACAATTCTGAGTTTGTAATAAAATTTTTAATACCCAGAGATAAAAGAAAACAGTAAAATTATATAATTTTTTTAAACAAATTTTTAAATTGTAGAAAAAAATATATATCAATAATGTAAATTTTGAATATATTTTTTTTTGATGATAATAAACCAGGAATTATTAATTATAATTTAGTTTTAGGACAATAATGAGAATTTTAGGTCTAAGGAAATTATTTCATATAAATAGTAATTTTAATAATTTTAAATAATTTTCGTCCTGTAAAATAATTTTCTTAATAATAATTTAATATATTCAGAAGTTGATTGTTTAAAAAAAATTAATTTGTTGGTTTTTAAAGGTATACAATTTTTTGAATTTTTAAACTCTTACCGGAAATGAAATTTTCTTTATGGAACAAATAGAATTCTGTAGATTAAATTTTGAATTTGAAATATTATAATTTTTCGATTAATGTGATGTAAATAATATATTAAATGAGATTTGGAAATAATTTTTATATTCACTCAAATGTATAAAGCACTATTCGTTGTTTTTAACTTAAATAAAAAAAATTTTCTTTTAAATTATGCAGAACTTTAAAAGTTATCAACAATTCTGAGTTTGTAATAAAATTTTTAATACCCAGAGATAAAAGAAAACAGTAAAATTATATAATTTTTTTAAACAAATTTTTAAATTGTAGAAAAAAATATATATCAATAATGTAAATTTTGAATATATTTTTTTTTGATGATAATAAACCAGGAATTATTAATTATAATTTAGTTTTAGGACAATAATGAGAATTTTAGGTCTAAGGAAATTATTTCATATAAATAGTAATTTTAATAATTTTAAATAATTTTCGTCCTGTAAAATAATTTTCTTAATAATAATTTAATATATTCAGAAGTTGATTGTTTAAAAAAAATTAATTTGTTGGTTTTTAAAGGTATACAATTTTTTGAATTTTTAAACTCTTACCGGAAATGAAATTTTCTTTATGGAACAAATAGAATTCTGTAGATTAAATTTTGAATTTGAAATATTATAATTTTTCGATTAATGTGATGTAAATAATATATTAAATGAGATTTGGAAATAATTTTTATATTCACTCAAATGTATAAAGCACTATTCGTTGTTTTTAACTTAAATAAAAAAAATTTTCTTTTAAATTATGCAGAACTTTAAAAGTTATCAACAATTCTGAGTTTGTAATAAAATTTTTAATACCCAGAGATAAAAGAAAACAGTAAAATTATATAATTTTTTTAAACAAATTTTTAAATTGTAGAAAAAAATATATATCAATAATGTAAATTTTGAATATATTTTTTTTTGATGATAATAAACCAGGAATTATTAATTATAATTTAGTTTTAGGACAATAATGAGAATTTTAGGTCTAAGGAAATTATTTCATATAAATAGTAATTTTAATAATTTTAAATAATTTTCGTCCTGTAAAATAATTTTCTTAATAATAATTTAATATATTAAGAAGTTGATTGTTTAAAAAAAATTAATTTGTTGGTTTTTAAAGGTATACAATTTTTTGAATTTTTAAACTCTTACCGGAAATGAAATTTTCTTTATGGAACAAATAGAATTCTGTAGATTAAATTTTGAATTTGAAATATTATAATTTTTCAATTAATGTGATGTAAATAATATATTAAATGAGATTTGGAAATAATTTTTATATTCACTCAAATGTATAAAGCACTATTCGTTGTTTTTAACTTAAATAAAAAAAATTTTCTTTTAAATTATGCAGAACTTTAAAAGTTATCAACAATTCTGAGTTTGTAATAAAATTTTTAATACCCAGAGATAAAAGAAAACAGTAAAATTATATAATTTTTTTAAACAAATTTTTAAATTGTAGAAAAAAATATATATCAATAATGTAAATTTTGAATATATTTTTTTTTGATGATAATAAACCAGGAATTATTAATTATAATTTAGTTTTAGGACAATAATGAGAATTTTAGGTCTAAGGAAATTATTTCATATAAATAGTAATTTTAATAATTTTAAATAATTTTCGTCCTGTAAAATAATTTTCTTAATAATAATTTAATATATTCAGAAGTTGATTGTTTAAAAAAAATTAATTTGTTGGTTTTTAAAGGTATACAATTTTTTGAATTTTTAAACTCTTACCGGAAATGAAATTTTCTTTATGGAACAAATAGAATTCTGTAGATTAAATTTTGAATTTGAAATATTATAATTTTTCAATTAATGTGATGTAAATAATATATTAAATGAGATTTGGAAATAATTTTTATATTCACTCAAATGTATAAAGCACTATTCGTTGTTTTTAACTTAAATAAAAAAAATTTTCTTTTAAATTATGCAGAACTTTAAAAGTTATCAACAATTCTGAGTTTGTAATAAAATTTTTAATACCCAGAGATAAAAGAAAACAGTAAAATTATATAATTTTTTTAAACAAATTTTTAAATTGTAGAAAAAAATATATATCAATAATGTAAATTTTGAATATATTTTTTTTTGATGATAATAAACCAGGAATTATTAATTATAATTTAGTTTTAGGACAATAATGAGAATTTTAGGTCTAAGGAAATTATTTCATATAAATAGTAATTTTAATAATTTTAAATAATTTTCGTCCTGTAAAATAATTTTCTTAATAATAATTTAATATATTCAGAAGTTGATTGTTTAAAAAAAATTAATTTGTTGGTTTTTAAAGGTATACAATTTTTTGAATTTTTAAACTCTTACCGGAAATGAAATTTTCTTTATGGAACAAATAGAATTCTGTAGATTAAATTTTGAATTTGAAATATTATAATTTTTCAATTAATGTGATGTAAATAATATATTAAATGAGATTTGGAAATAATTTTTATATTCACTCAAATGTATAAAGCACTATTCGTTGTTTTTAACTTAAATAAAAAAAATTTTCTTTTAAATTATGCAGAACTTTAAAAGTTATCAACAATTCTGAGTTTGTAATAAAATTTTTAATACCCAGAGATAAAAGAAAACAGTAAAATTATATAATTTTTTTAAACAAATTTTTAAATTGTAGAAAAAAATATATATCAATAATGTAAATTTTGAATATATTTTTTTTTGATGATAATAAACCAGGAATTATTAATTATAATTTAGTTTTAGGACAATAATGAGAATTTTAGGTCTAAGGAAATTATTTCATATAAATAGTAATTTTAATAATTTTAAATAATTTTCGTCCTGTAAAATAATTTTCTTAATAATAATTTAATATATTCAGAAGTTGATTGTTTAAAAAAAATTAATTTGTTGGTTTTTAAAGGTATACAATTTTTTGAATTTTTAAACTCTTACCGGAAATGAAATTTTCTTTATGGAACAAATAGAATTCTGTAGATTAAATTTTGAATTTGAAATATTATAATTTTTCGATTAATGTGATGTAAATAATATATTAAATGAGATTTGGAAATAATTTTTATATTCACTCAAATGTATAAAGCACTATTCGTTGTTTTTAACTTAAATAAAAAAAATTTTCTTTTAAATTATGCAGAACTTTAAAAGTTATCAACAATTCTGAGTTTGTAATAAAATTTTTAATACCCAGAGATAAAAGAAAACAGTAAAATTATATAATTTTTTTAAACAAATTTTTAAATTGTAGAAAAAAATATATATCAATAATGTAAATTTTGAATATATTTTTTTTTGATGATAATAAACCAGGAATTATTAATTATAATTTAGTTTTAGGACAATAATGAGAATTTTAGGTCTAAGGAAATTATTTCATATAAATAGTAATTTTAATAATTTTAAATAATTTTCGTCCTGTAAAATAATTTTCTTAATAATAATTTAATATATTCAGAAGTTGATTGTTTAAAAAAAATTAATTTGTTGGTTTTTAAAGGTATACAATTTTTTGAATTTTTAAACTCTTACCGGAAATGAAATTTTCTTTATGGAACAAATAGAATTCTGTAGATTAAATTTTGAATTTGAAATATTATAATTTTTCAATTAATGTGATGTAAATAATATATTAAATGAGATTTGGAAATAATTTTTATATTCACTCAAATGTATAAAGCACTATTCGTTGTTTTTAACTTAAATAAAAAAAATTTTCTTTTAAATTATGCAGAACTTTAAAAGTTATCAACAATTCTGAGTTTGTAATAAAATTTTTAATACCCAGAGATAAAAGAAAACAGTAAAATTATATAATTTTTTTAAACAAATTTTTAAATTGTAGAAAAAAATATATATCAATAATGTAAATTTTGAATATATTTTTTTTTGATGATAATAAACCAGGAATTATTAATTATAATTTAGTTTTAGGACAATAATGAGAATTTTAGGTCTAAGGAAATTATTTCATATAAATAGTAATTTTAATAATTTTAAATAATTTTCGTCCTGTAAAATAATTTTCTTAATAATAATTTAATATATTCAGAAGTTGATTGTTTAAAAAAAATTAATTTGTTGGTTTTTAAAGGTATACAATTTTTTGAATTTTTAAACTCTTACCGGAAATGAAATTTTCTTTATGGAACAAATAGAATTCTGTAGATTAAATTTTGAATTTGAAATATTATAATTTTTCAATTAATGTGATGTAAATAATATATTAAATGAGATTTGGAAATAATTTTTATATTCACTCAAATGTATAAAGCACTATTCGTTGTTTTTAACTTAAATAAAAAAAATTTTCTTTTAAATTATGCAGAACTTTAAAAGTTATCAACAATTCTGAGTTTGTAATAAAATTTTTAATACCCAGAGATAAAAGAAAACAGTAAAATTATATAATTTTTTTAAACAAATTTTTAAATTGTAGAAAAAAATATATATCAATAATGTAAATTTTGAATATATTTTTTTTTGATGATAATAAACCAGGAATTATTAATTATAATTTAGTTTTAGGACAATAATGAGAATTTTAGGTCTAAGGAAATTATTTCATATAAATAGTAATTTTAATAATTTTAAATAATTTTCGTCCTGTAAAATAATTTTCTTAATAATAATTTAATATATTCAGAAGTTGATTGTTTAAAAAAAATTAATTTGTTGGTTTTTAAAGGTATACAATTTTTTGAATTTTTAAACTCTTACCGGAAATGAAATTTTCTTTATGGAACAAATAGAATTCTGTAGATTAAATTTTGAATTTGAAATATTATAATTTTTCAATTAATGTGATGTAAATAATATATTAAATGAGATTTGGAAATAATTTTTATATTCACTCAAATGTATAAAGCACTATTCGTTGTTTTTAACTTAAATAAAAAAAATTTTCTTTTAAATTATGCAGAACTTTAAAAGTTATCAACAATTCTGAGTTTGTAATAAAATTTTTAATACCCAGAGATAAAAGAAAACAGTAAAATTATATAATTTTTTTAAACAAATTTTTAAATTGTAGAAAAAAATATATATCAATAATGTAAATTTTGAATATATTTTTTTTTGATGATAATAAACCAGGAATTATTAATTATAATTTAGTTTTAGGACAATAATGAGAATTTTAGGTCTAAGGAAATTATTTCATATAAATAGTAATTTTAATAATTTTAAATAATTTTCGTCCTGTAAAATAATTTTCTTAATAATAATTTAATATATTCAGAAGTTGATTGTTTAAAAAAAATTAATTTGTTGGTTTTTAAAGGTATACAATTTTTTGAATTTTTAAACTCTTACCGGAAATGAAATTTTCTTTATGGAACAAATAGAATTCTGTAGATTAAATTTTGAATTTGAAATATTATAATTTTTCAATTAATGTGATGTAAATAATATATTAAATGAGATTTGGAAATAATTTTTATATTCACTCAAATGTATAAAGCACTATTCGTTGTTTTTAACTTAAATAAAAAAAATTTTCTTTTAAATTATGCAGAACTTTAAAAGTTATCAACAATTCTGAGTTTGTAATAAAATTTTTAATACCCAGAGATAAAAGAAAACAGTAAAATTATATAATTTTTTTAAACAAATTTTTAAATTGTAGAAAAAAATATATATCAATAATGTAAATTTTGAATATATTTTTTTTTGATGATAATAAACCAGGAATTATTAATTATAATTTAGTTTTAGGACAATAATGAGAATTTTAGGTCTAAGGAAATTATTTCATATAAATAGTAATTTTAATAATTTTAAATAATTTTCGTCCTGTAAAATAATTTTCTTAATAATAATTTAATATATTCAGAAGTTGATTGTTTAAAAAAAATTAATTTGTTGGTTTTTAAAGGTATACAATTTTTTGAATTTTTAAACTCTTACCGGAAATGAAATTTTCTTTATGGAACAAATAGAATTCTGTAGATTAAATTTTGAATTTGAAATATTATAATTTTTCAATTAATGTGATGTAAATAATATATTAAATGAGATTTGGAAATAATTTTTATATTCACTCAAATGTATAAAGCACTATTCGTTGTTTTTAACTTAAATAAAAAAAATTTTCTTTTAAATTATGCAGAACTTTAAAAGTTATCAACAATTCTGAGTTTGTAATAAAATTTTTAATACCCAGAGATAAAAGAAAACAGTAAAATTATATAATTTTTTTAAACAAATTTTTAAATTGTAGAAAAAAATATATATCAATAATGTAAATTTTGAATATATTTTTTTTTGATGATAATAAACCAGGAATTATTAATTATAATTTAGTTTTAGGACAATAATGAGAATTTTAGGTCTAAGGAAATTATTTCATATAAATAGTAATTTTAATAATTTTAAATAATTTTCGTCCTGTAAAATAATTTTCTTAATAATAATTTAATATATTCAGAAGTTGATTGTTTAAAAAAAATTAATTTGTTGGTTTTTAAAGGTATACAATTTTTTGAATTTTTAAACTCTTACCGGAAATGAAATTTTCTTTATGGAACAAATAGAATTCTGTAGATTAAATTTTGAATTTGAAATATTATAATTTTTCAATTAATGTGATGTAAATAATATATTAAATGAGATTTGGAAATAATTTTTATATTCACTCAAATGTATAAAGCACTATTCGTTGTTTTTAACTTAAATAAAAAAAATTTTCTTTTAAATTATGCAGAACTTTAAAAGTTATCAACAATTCTGAGTTTGTAATAAAATTTTTAATACCCAGAGATAAAAGAAAACAGTAAAATTATATAATTTTTTTAAACAAATTTTTAAATTGTAGAAAAAAATATATATCAATAATGTAAATTTTGAATATATTTTTTTTTGATGATAATAAACCAGGAATTATTAATTATAATTTAGTTTTAGGACAATAATGAGAATTTTAGGTCTAAGGAAATTATTTCATATAAATAGTAATTTTAATAATTTTAAATAATTTTCGTCCTGTAAAATAATTTTCTTAATAATAATTTAATATATTCAGAAGTTGATTGTTTAAAAAAAATTAATTTGTTGGTTTTTAAAGGTATACAATTTTTTGAATTTTTAAACTCTTACCGGAAATGAAATTTTCTTTATGGAACAAATAGAATTCTGTAGATTAAATTTTGAATTTGAAATATTATAATTTTTCAATTAATGTGATGTAAATAATATATTAAATGAGATTTGGAAATAATTTTTATATTCACTCAAATGTATAAAGCACTATTCGTTGTTTTTAACTTAAATAAAAAAAATTTTCTTTTAAATTATGCAGAACTTTAAAAGTTATCAACAATTCTGAGTTTGTAATAAAATTTTTAATACCCAGAGATAAAAGAAAACAGTAAAATTATATAATTTTTTTAAACAAATTTTTAAATTGTAGAAAAAAATATATATCAATAATGTAAATTTTGAATATATTTTTTTTTGATGATAATAAACCAGGAATTATTAATTATAATTTAGTTTTAGAACAATAATGAGAATTTTAGGTCTAAGGAGATTTATTTCATGTAAAATTTATATCATAATAGAATTATATGACCTTATAAAAATTTATAATTAAAGTATAATGATGAATTTAAGGAATTTTTTATGTAAATTAATAAAACAAGAAAAACACTTATTTATACTTGTGACGCAAAATACGTTATTGATCTCAAACAATAAACGCATCTGTTTTATATTAATTTTATGTTTATTGTAGTGTCGTAAGATAAATTTTTCTATTATGATGAAATGGAAATTTATATATTCAGTTAGAAATATTTTTTTTTTTAATATTAACATAAAATATTATTATATTATATTTTATATATAAATATAATATAATATATATAATATGTCTAGCAACGGTTGGTAAGGACATTTTTCACCTAGCAACGGTTTCTAAGATCATTTTTTGGCTAGCAGCGGTTGCTAATAATTTTTTTCGCCTTGAAACGATTGCTGAGGACTTTTTTTACTTAGCAACGGTTGCTAATGTTATAGTTTTTTTTTACTATTAGTCAAAAAAAAACTTGTCACGATTCATGAAATAAAATTTGAAAAAATAACTTTTGTACGCAATTTAGAAACAGAAAGTCAAGAAAGCAGAAACAAGTTTTGGAAATAGTACTTAAAAGATATAATTATATTGGTTCAGAGTTTTCCGCTTAAAGCGAATCTCTTTATCATAGTTCTTCCTTTACTCCTTCCTTCCTTCCTCCATCCCGAAGGAACGGGCTGGCATTTATGGAGTTAACATTTCTAAAACTCGCCGTCCCTGGGAAAAAGGAGGAAAGGAGCCAGGAGCAAAAAAAAAGAGCCCTGTCCCCACTTTTCCTTATAATGCCTCCATTCCTTGGATATATGCATAGGTTCCCCCCCTCCCTTCCTTCCTTCTTTTTTCCTCTTCACCATCTCACACCATCAAAGCTACCCTTATTGCATTTTATATTATATCTATGTGTTTCCGTTCTGCAGCTATACGACGCGACGCTCAAGCAAAACGCTTCCCGCGCGTTCTTGATCAACCCCCTTCAAATATATCGTTACGAGTATGGACCTCTCGTGGACACTCATTATCGTCCATTGCGTTATTAGCACTCTCCACGGTTGGGGTAATAAGGTTTCGGTGACGAAACTATAACCCTTCTTCTCAGTCATTTTTTTTCCAATTATTTATTACTCACATGGGAGATGAAAAATTTGCATATATGATACAAAAAAAAAGTCCAGTAACTGTTTCATACAGATTGGAAAAACTGGAAACGAAAATACACTTGTGCAGTTGAAAAAAAATAGTAAGAAGTTTGGAAGCC